TTTTACGAAGAAAATTATGATTTTAGTAAATACTTTTAATTACTAAGAAGTTCTAAACAGAATCTTGACCTATCTTTTAATAAATTATCTGAACACCTACCACTTGATTATGTTACCTATTAAATTTTAGTAAATGTAAAAAGATTTTTTTTTATAAATAAAAAAAATCTCAAATCAAAACACATATTAATTGACGAAACTCATAGAAATACGAGATTTAATGGCAAAAAATAATTGAAATCCCCGTAGGAAAACTCTAACTATGCTAAAAAAACATTAAATTGAATCTTTTATATACTAGACTAGTAAATTAGTTTGGATTTTGGTTTGTAATTCCGGTGTTAGCAAAAAGACTTGACTTATAATACTTAAAACTTTAAGTAATTTTATTGAACGACGTCAAATGTTATGGAATGTGGCTCCTATGCGCACGTAGACTCTATGTATTTGAATAATTGAATGCAAATTAATACCATACTATATATATCTTTGGGGAAAAAACAAATTATTCGAATAGCCCTCAACAATAATCGATGATAAAAAAACACACACAAATAATTGATGATAAGTTGGGTCATGATTATTGTTGTTGTCTTTGTTTTTTTTTTCCAATGATGTTTTTGTTTTTCACTCAACTCTTAAATGATTTTGTTTTTGTCCCTTAACTCTAAAATTATTGTTTAAAAAAAATGATGGATGAGGACAAATGAGAGAAGTGGGGGTAAAGGGACCTACAAGAAGGAGAAAGACAACGAAGTCTGAGGAATCTGTGTCGTTATGTCTGTGTCGTTATGTCTTCAGATTCAGATTTGTCTTCTCTCATCTCTCGTTTTTCTAATCTATTTATTTTTCTTTTTGTCATCTGAATTTTTATTAATAAACCATTGTGAAATACTTGATGAAATACAACCATAAATCGGAGGAAGACGAGATTTCCCCGGAGTCTAAAACCCTATGTAAGGGAAACCATAAGTAATACTACAAAGCAACAAGAAAGAAGCAATAGTAGTAGAAATCCCATATGAAGGGAAGAAAACAAATAGCCCGAACTAATCTATTTATATATCTTATGTTTTTTTTCTTCTTCTTTAATTCATATTTGTTACTCAATATTCTTTTTACTTTAAACTTCGTTTCCTCGAAAAAGAATAATAATTCAATTTGCAGTTTAGTAAAACTATGGATTTGAATGATGTTTTGATTCATGCTTAACAAGAAAAAGGATTCATTCATGAACAGAAAAATGAAGAAATATATTTTATTTGTCTAAACTCTAAACTTTACAATATATTTAGGAAAAAAGATTACAAATGTTTAATTTTGCAGTGCTATGTTCCATAAACATTTATAGAAAAATATAACTTCAAAGGCGACATAAAAATTGATGGTACGAAACAAAAGAATCCAACGCAAGAAACAAAACAATTGTAGTTAGAGCATAACAGGTGATAAAAATATATAATAATATAATGGTAATAAAACATAGCAAATAGTGCAGAAAAATTGTTTAAAGAGTCCATTAGCTGCATGCTAATTATTTGAGAAATAATTAGGTGTGGCATACACAAGTTTTTTCTTTTGCAAAACAAGAGAGAGAAAACTTTGGTTTGGTAAAATTCGGACGAAATTGCTCCTCAAATTAAAAACGGAAATTTTCTGTAGAAGATATATGCGTCATGGAACTTACAGTGGACCATCACTTATTAAATGCTTCCATCGATAATATATTCTACTACATAATTAAATGTCGTCATATCTTGTTTTTATCGGATACATGGATATATATCAATACATCGTAATATTCTATTAATATTGTTTACATATGATATATCACTATAGAACATTGTAGTGGTTGTGATAGGTGAGTGAAGTAAATTTAACATTGTAGTGGTTGTGTTGAATTGTATGTTAGTGGCGGAAGAGGTGATGGTGATGTGAATGAAGAATATATTGCGGTTGAAGAGAAGGTGGTGATAGTGAACGGGATAGAAATTATATTGGCAATGACATAGGTGAGACTATGACGATAAATGAATTGAGAGACAAAGATGCTTAACCATCACTAGATTTGTTCTTAGCGTCGTCGGTTGACGGTGTCTCAAATCATCTCTAACAGAAGCTCAATAATAACGAACGACACCCAAACATACGACGACTCTATATCGAAATTTTTTTTAAGATTTATGGAATACAATTTAATCAGAAAAATACGACGAGTTTAATGAATTCAAAATATCATAATTTTAGATGCAATCAGTTTCACAATTAAGAAGAATCATTTGTTTGAGGTTTTCATAAAGTAAAGAAAAAAGAAAAAAAATAATAAAAAGAAAGAGAAACGAAGAAGGAATGAAGAAAAAATGAAGTGTTTAATTTTAGGGGTATTTTAGTCTTTTTGTCATGTTTTCAAATGATCATTTATTTACAAGTTTGCCACTTCTCCTTTGACTTAAATACTTTTCAGTCTTAGGGTATGTAGTGTAATTACTCTTGTTTAAATGGTAAAAAATGTTTAGATAAATTATAGTCGGTTCATTTAAAGAGTTACAGAAAAACAGAATTGATATTTGTTTTTACTAATGAAATAAAGTATGAATAAAAATGAAGTAAGATACTCCGAATTCGCTAATTGCGGAATAAAAAAGAAAAGATATTCTAAATTTGTAGATTATTTGCTTCAAACTTTTAATTAGTTAAAAAAATATAGATGGAACAATACAATTTTAAAGATCTTTTATTTCAAACTAGGTGAGTACCCGCATTACGTGCGGGCTTTCACTTTATATTTCATAATTATAAGTATATAAATGTAAACATTAGGTTAGTTTTTGTTAATAGGTAAGAAGACAAAATTTCCCTTATAAACGAGATTATCCTGATACTAAGCATATAAATCTACTTTTTTTTTTGCATTTACATTTAGATTCCTAATAAAAAACTGTTCTCGCTACACATTATCTTTTTATAATATTCTTTCAATACTTTTATCCTTAAACCAAAAGAAGAAGACAAAATGCAAAGAAGATTGGAGTACCCACACTAAAATCAATAATCATGGTATTTAGGTACAAATGTTAAGCATTGATGGGCTGTCGTTTTGTTTGAACAACGATGTTATTAGTTATAGCCAGTGTTCTAAAAAGCGGTCTAGGCGGTCGCCTAGGCCCCGACTAGGCGCTAGACTCTCATGCGACGCCTAGATAACCGTATTGACCGCCTAAAATTACATAGATCTTGTTTAATGTATTTTTTCAATTTTAATTAGAGTTTTATTTATATATATAGTTATAAATATTCATATATTGTTTAATATAAATATAAATAAATATTTTATCTAATTTTTAGTTTTATATAGATATTTTATATAACTTTTATATATAATATCATATTGATAATGTTTTATGTTATAAACGTCTAAACCGCCTAAAAAATCGTCTAAGCCCCGATTAGGCGTTCTAGGCGCTAGGCACTGGGTCACCGCCCGCTTAGCGCCTAGCGCTTTCTTGAACACTGGTTATAGCAAATAAACAAATAGAACCAAACCTTGATAAGCCTTATTGATTTGTCGAAACATAAATGTAAAATAATTCTCGTCTTTAAATTTTTATCGTTGCCACTTTTGCAAAAACAACTAAAACAATACAAACTCCGTCACTGAAGAACTCTATCATTGAAGATTTTAGTCCAATAATTTGATGTTAGAGGTTCTGACGTTCTCCTCACCATTTTTTAATATCTTATATAGAAAAGTTTTTAAGAGAATAATCAACTCAAAAATTTCCGGAGTATGAGAAACCCCAATAAAATAATTATATTGAAGAAAAAAGAAATAATAATTAAATATAATTAGTATTAATACAATTAAATATGTTAATTTTTATAATATGTATGATTAAATAATATATGTTCCACTAGCTTACATTAATTATTAGTTGACACATGTCAAATATTAAAGTGATGATGTGACACTCATATAAAGAGAGTTTGCCAACTTTCATATATATGATTTTCTCTTTAGAAAATCTAGAAACAACCAAAATTCGGAAAAATATGTGGGTTCACCCTTATTCGGTCTATTCTTGGAATCTTGAGTGCACTTATCTATTTCTTCATAAGAATCTATTTTATCTTTTAAACATCTTTAACATTGGAAATTATTACCAGGTTTGGATCGTAATTAAATCATGCCCTGCAAAAAGCACAACAATCAGATCATAGATTTTTAGATAACATATTTACCAAAACATTATACATACATGATGCTAAAATTTTTTTTGTTAAAACATACATGATAGTATTGTTATGAATTATATTAATATTAATATCGATATATTTAATATTTTACCTCGTTTACAAACTTACAGACGAACACTTTCGAGTTTGAACTTGCTTACGGCAGCCACATTGATTCAAAATATATATAATGAACTTACCTAAGTTGGTTCGAGACCTCTTGCTTTTTCAATAATCTATAACATTCACTTCACTTGGCTAACACTAACACTATACTTATAAGGATCTAGATGATTTATTAGAGGGTTTAATGGTCGGATACCTTAACGGATTAGAAATCCAACAAAACTGACTGTTTGTTTTAGTGGAATTAATCTAAGACTTCTGTGGACCGACATGATTAATTTCACAATTCTCGAAAATTTAAAACCTTTAAAAGATTTGACATATGCTTCATTTTACATAATAGAAAGGCTTGCGAGGTTATTTTATCATTTTGCGATATGAAACACACATACATACATTTTCTCTTTGTTGTGACTTGTGTGATAATGTAGTAAAGGAGAAAGAGTAAAAATGACATTGAAAAATAAAATAATATGGTTGTTCCTCAAATAGCTTAACAAAAGAAAAATGGCATTACACTAGCTACTCTTACAGTCTTATCCAAAAGGATTTGGCAATAGACCAGTAATCCCCTCGGGCTGGCCATGGCCGGGGACCGAAGCGGGTAAATTAGTCCCCTTTTTAAAGACGAGATTCGAACCTGGACCTAAGGAGCATTACATTATGATAAAATAGATATCAGCCAAACATCTTCTTTCAAACATAACCATATAATTAAACAACACTAAGAGTCTAAGACCCTAAATTTCAACAAAAATCCTAAACTCTCAGCATCAGATAAAAACGAAAAGAAAAAAGACAAACACTAGACCCTAGTTTTATGAGAACATCAGTCTTTGAGAGATAGTTAACCAATTCTACAGATCCTCACAATTTTGTTTTTCATTGACCAAACTCATTGGTCTGCCGAAGTTACAAAGCCCTGGTTTAGTCTCTGCTCCGGATGTCACAGCACGGATCTTTCTGGTATCAAACTGGCCTTCATCTTTGCTTCTCATCTGTATGATCTTCCTGTGCATATTTGAATGCACAGTTGGGATGAAGGTCGGGCTTGATGCTGGACGGTATTCTGGGACAAGACGGCCTGATCTGAACCGGACTCCGCAAGCATTGCAGAGGGTTTTAGGACCACTGGGTCCTTCCCTCCACTGGGGGGTATTGGTTGTCTCACAATGAGTGCATTTCTGGACTCTCCCACCTGAGTTAAATGGTTTTGGAGTGTTATGGACCTGGTGGGTGGGACGACTCTTGTTCCTCTTGCGTTTTTTGTTGGCGGATATCTCAGAAGAGAGGTTAATTTCAGATTCTGATTCATCCGGAGCAAACTGCTGAGACATTTCGAATCCAAATGCCTGGAGGAATGTAACTCTCAGCAGTGTGGGGCGTTTGCGCTTGCTTCTGATGCCTTTCAGGGGAAAGGCCAGTTTCAGAGCTCTGTGTAGGTTTAGGGATGAGACAGAACCGTTGGTATTCTCAAGAACTGAGACTGGGCTTGAGGATTGAAATAGCTTTGAGACTTTGACATCAGAAGGGGAGTTGTCAACAGTAGAAACTTCCGAAGAACACGACTGCTTCTGCACGCACAAAGTCAAAGCCAATGAATATAAATTCAGAAACATATATAATGCACCCAAATAGTCGACAAAAAAAGAAAGCACCAAGACTTCTTCAGACAAAGAAATCCAGACACTTCAACCACTTATCAACTCAGTAGATTTACTAAAAAAGTAGACAACCAAAACAAGCATGAGCATGATTCCATATAGATCAACAAATTTCCATATCAGATTGACAATGATACTATGCCTAACCCTTCTTGTGTTATATATATATACACGGATAGATTCAGAGAACGACTTTATTCATCTCTCAATAACAAAAACAGGCACTAAACTAACAAAGGCAACTTAGAGTTTTGTCGACGAGAATCCCAAAATTCTCCCTGCGACAAAGGCCCCAAACCACTACACAAACACTCAACACCCTTACCTCTATTACCACATCCTACATTTATACCAGCTGCCGAGCTGGGAACTATTCATATCAATGAGCATTTGACTGAAAACAACAAGCTAAAGTGAAAGACCTAAGAGACTGCACAGTCCTTTTCTCATATAGTTTCATAAACATAATATATACACACTCGGGTGCACCATAACGAAAGGATTCTTTTCCATGTGCTTTCCAATATAGTAATTTTGTTTCAAACCCAATACAAGAATTACGCTAGTACTGTAAGGAATTATTCTCCTCTTGCAAATGCATCGTGATTGTGTTGATAATCTACTAAAGCAATGACTGATGCATAAAGAGTATAAAATATGCATAAGAAAATGCATAGACAATCTACATTAGTACGCATGATCCTTCGACTTTTACACTCATTTCTAACATAAAGCAGCAAAAAGCTATGGAAACTTGAATCTAACAGACAATATACCAAATTCTTTCCTAACGCAAATAAATATTGTGTACGTGACCTAATATGTGTGAATGATCAAGTAACTTAAATAGATGAAGTTCGAAAACAAAATGATGCACTTTCCTAATGCAGATATGAGTGATTCTTTTTAACAGCAATTTCGAAACAAATACAATATAAAAAAACCGAAGCTTGAATACAAAAGAATTGATATGTTCAAAATGCAAATGTGTGAACAATACATCAGGTTGCATAAGTGATGCAAAGTGAACTCTCTATTCTCGCATTTTTCTAACCTTACGTGGTAAAATAGCTATTGAGGTTTGAATCTGAAAGAACAAAGATGTAATACTATACTAAATTATTGTCCTAAAGCAAACGTGTGTTGTGCTCGTGTAAAAATCTTTCACGTAATATGCATGAGTGATGAAATATAAGCGTGACTATTATTACGCTCTTAACTAACCTTACGTGGTAAATAGCTATCAAAGCTTGAATGGGAAAGTATCTTTCTGTAACATTAGACACACTTCCTAACTCAAATGCGTACTGTAAATGCGGCATAGTGTAATAAGTTACATGCATAGAAACATGGTTCTCTTGTACACACTTTTCTAACCTACATGCAGGGAAAAAGTTACCAAAACTTAAATCGAAGAAGAATCATTATGTTATACTATACGCCTATACCCAAACAATGCTCAAATGTAAACGTGCGCAGTGAATGAGTAAATAATCTATCAAGCATATGCATAAATGATGTATATAGGCTTGATTCATTTTTACGTGCTTTCTAAAATAATGTAGTCAGAAGGCTAAATCTGAACATAACGCAAATGGGGATAATGGTGACTCACCAAACTGGGTACAGGCTTCTGGACTGGCACACGCTGTCCATTGCAAGAAAACTCAGAGGACAAACTCGTTAGCACATCCAATGGTGGAGGTACGAGGTTTTGAAACCCGGCATCCCAATCTCCCTCATCATCGGCAGTCTCGATGTCTTCTAGAGAAAAATCATCATTAGGATCAATGAGATTATCAAAGAAGTTATCCGATAGACCCTTGAAGTCCTCTTCAGGTAACCACGAACCGTTACTCATTTGTCACCTACTGTCCAAAAACCCACAGACAAATATAGAAAACAACATTAACACAATACACAAGAGTAATATAGCCAAGCCAAGTAACAAATATCATTTTCAAAGATTTCAATTGATTATGAATGCGAAAATCGACATCATCCTATGAATTGATTAATAAAATCAGTAGTTTCGTTGAATGAGAATTAACCTAAAATATGAATTTCCATTAGCTTACTTAATATGTTGACTCGAGAGTGAACATCAATAAACATAAATGGCAAAAGATTCATTTGAGTCAATATCTATAACTTTAATTTCCTCTTACAGATAATGCTGAGAATTTTAGGCCTAAAAGGATAAAAAAAAATTCTTCATTTTAGATATTCATATCATCATTTGCATTCAAACGCATTAAGATTCATTTTTCACCCACTGTCCAAAAACCATAGACAAGTATAGAAAAACAACATAAAACATATAAGAAAGTAAGAAAGCCAAGCCAAGTAACAACTAACAAATATCATTTTCAGAGATTTCAATTGAATTATGAAGGCGAAAATCGACATAAACCTGCAAATTCACTAATAACTAATATGAATGAGTATATACCTAAATATGGAGTAAGATTAGAATTCAATTACCATTAGCTCTCACTCAATATGTTGACTCAAGGGTAAGAAACAATAAAACAAATTTTCACAACATAAATGGCAAAAGATTCATTTGAGTCAATATCTATAAGAAAAATCATAACTTTAAGACAAAAAAGATGGAAAATTTCTTCATTTCATCATTTGAATTCAAACCCATTTCGAGAAATCATAAGAACAATCACCTTTTAACATTTTAGGGCACAAACAAAACAACAAAACACGAGATAAGAAGAATCAAAACAAAGAACAAGTCATCATCTTCTTACATGTATATTGTCTCATAATCAAAAACAACAAAAAAACACAACGAGAAATCTCCATTTCCACGAGAGAGATAGAGAGACAGAGACACACGAACCTTCTGATACAGTAGCTGATTACAAAGAACACATTCCCCAAGCACGAGCAAGGGAAAGATATAGAGAGAGACAAAGAGAGAAGAGAATCTAATTTGTCCGAAATTGGGGATTTAGGGATCTGTGAGAGAGAGAGAGAGAGAGAGAGAGAGAGAGAGAGAGAGAGGGAGAGAGTTATAATGTGTGGTAATGTACATGGGATTTTCAGTGTGTCTTTTTTTGGGAAAAATGAATTTCTATATTTTATATTTGTAAAGATTTCTTCACTTTAAAGAAAATTGTTAATCATTTTGTATGTATGAAAGGAAATAACTTCTGTCATTTTTAACACTTGCAGGAAATTAGGACAAAGATTAATGGAAGGATTTCTATTCAAAATGTATATATTAAGCAATTAATTAAAAAAGATTTCATTCAAAAAAATTTCTGTATTTTATACAAGATTTTTATATACACTCATTATTATTAGAGGAAAAAAACAAAAAACAAAAACAGCTATTGTTATCAGAACTTATCTTAATGTTGAGATTTTGCACCAATGGTATAGGTTGAATAATATATTAACCTAATCTTATTTGATCACAATTCACAATATGGGTAAGTGATAATATATGTAAGAAACTCAGTAGTTTTATTGTTTTTTTTTCTTTTCGGACAAAGACACAATAGAAATACAGTAAATTTTTAATTAATTGATAGTTAAACCAAAAACTTTAACTTAATTCTTTTTTATTGTTGTTGGGATCATTGTATTTTATAATTTTAAAAATATACTAATGAAATAATAAATTAGTATTTTTTAATTTAAAGAAAAATTTAGCATGAAATTAACTATAATAATAGATTTAATCATAGGAGTTTAAAAAAATCGAGTTGTGAGTATCTAATTAAGGTAATACTAATGTTTTGGATGCTATTAAGTTTTCGGTTTCGACATAGACAAGAAATGTTGAACAAGCGATGGTAATAATATTATTTTGACACTGAAAAAATCGTCTAGGGGATGTAATATAAAATTTCAATAACCTATTTGTCAAGACGACTTTCATAAATTTAAAGTTCACAATAAAACGGATTTCATTAGCATACTTATTAGGTGAGTGAAAATGATGCTCAAAAATTAGAAGAAACTATAGTTACTCTACTCTTAATATGGTTTACAATTTTAAAATTAGGTTAAATCTAAGGTTTAGGGTTGGGCCGGGTTTACATAAACTTAGGTTTCATTTTTTTAACTCATAAAATTATAGACTCTTTTCTAATTTTGATATTAGATATATTAAAAACCAAAAATTTGATATTTATGTTTTTGACATTTTTGTTCTTGAAAATTTCATGAAATTCAGTTTATATTGTTTGCAACTTCTGAAAACCTAAATACGATCAAAGTAATATATGTCGTTGTAACAAGTTAACAACAACATATTACAAAGAAAATAAATTGTACCAATTTGATGAAGATGATAATAGAGAAAGCTATAGTCTCAAATATTAAATATAGAATATGATTGTGTCGAGTAGTTAGAAGGGATACAAAAAATCAAGCACATGAACGGCCCACATGTCAAATCAGATGACATGCCTTGATCAAGGATTGCTCGTAGATCCGATCTGATTCAATTATTGCTTTCTTTTTGATTATTTCTAACTGAACTCTTAATTTTGTAAGTATTATCATTCTATGTCAAATTAAAGATGAGATGGAGAGGTCACCGACGATTACCAAAACTTAATGATTATGGTCTTATGGAGTTTCGTTATGGGAAAGCGGGTCTCCTTCTGCCTAGCTTCCACATGATGGTTCTATTAAATTTCAAAATAGAGTTTTATTGTTTTCCTAAATTTATAACACCACCAAAATTTGCATAGTTTATTGGCATTTGGTTCGATAATTTACGCAATCATATAACATGGTTTTCTGAAACCGTACGATTTGATTCACTATTATTAGGTTTGATAACTTACGCGACTGTCGTGTGTCGAGTAAAAGGTTGTCCGGTGATAAGAAAAGAAATTGAACAATTGACTTAATAAACCATTCTTATTAAGCTTAATAGACGCTTTTCAAATTTGGGTGTTGGAAGATCTTTGGAACACACCGCAACCATTTCTTATGTTTATCTACTTTCCATCAAATGATCCCTAACAGCCTCAAAAATGACTAGTGACTAGTGCTCGAGAACATCTAACATCTAACATCTAACATGAGGCAAGTTTACGATGAGACCCAACATGCGTATCTATCTATCTAAAGATTTGGTATGCCGATATTCAGACATGAATAATGTAAGCTCTAGTTATTGTTATTCTAATTTACCGAATTCAACTAAAAAAGGGAATAGCCGCCAAAACCTAGGTACACAAATCTCTTACATGTTAAACTCATAAAAAGACTAAGAAAAGAGATAGAACAATTTACTTAATAAACCATTCCGATAGAGCTCAATATATATACTTTCTAAACTACAGTGTCGAAGGATGGAAGACACCACACCCATTTGTTCTTTGATAGAGGTTTATCTATTACCAGTCAAACGACTCCTAATAATTTCAGAAAGTTATTGTATGTTGACTACACCATAATTATTGCAAAAATAGTTTGAACCTAGAAAGAAAGAAATATTTAAAAGCTATATTGCGGCGACCATCCCTTAATAATGGATATACTAAATGTCTTAAATATATTGCACCATAACGAAGAAAGGTGAAGGAAAATTAGTAGCTACACCAATGCTCGCAAGATAAACAGGACTCAAAGAAAGAAGCTACCGAACACTAGATGGTTCAAATGTGTGCTGTGATACCTATCTCTACCACATAGGCTTGGAAAACGCTTTACATGTTTGCCCTCACCTAAAACGCTTTTTTAAAAACTTCACCAACGAACAAAGTTCAACCATCATATCCTAGAATTTCACTAACTTGAAAAAAAACTCAAAAAGAGACATGAGTCAAACAATGAAACACAAAAACCACAATCAAAGCACACCCAATAATCATTACTCATCATAGAATTATACGCCACCTTCTCATACACACATCCAACAAACATAACAATTTTAATGCAACAATCATCCAAACATTTTCTCATCTTACTACACATTCAAACGTCTAGAAACAATTTATAGCGTCTTACTATCGACATGCCATAACGTCTCAATTCATTCAATCTTATACTCTCTCACATGATCTATCTATATAGTTTATTGTCATGAAATTAACACATGCATCTCATGTATCATATTCCTAGTTCGTAAGCCTCGTCACTTCATGAAGTCCAACTTTCCTTGTTTGAACCCTAAAATATGGCCGTCCTCACTTTAAATTCTAAACAAACATGCTGACCATGCTGGTTCAAAACTATAATGGCAAACTCCGACCATCTTGGCACTGAACTCATAAATTCTGACCAGGCTCAGCCCAAATGGGTAGGGCAGAGGAGCAATGGTCCAGAGGCCCAACACACTTTCAAAAAAAATTCTTATGTTTAAGGGTCCCTTAAAAAAATTTTTAAATATAGCCCAATTTTTATCATTTAAGTGAATTGTAACACCCCGGTTTCAGGAATATGGTGGTACATGCAGAGATGTTTTAAAAAATTGATTTGACCATCTATATCACCAAAGTGCACTTATCTTTTCGGTCAACTGTCCTGAGAGAACTCCACAGTTAAGCGTGCTTGGACTGGAGTAGTTTTAGGATAGGTGACCTTCCGGAAAGTGATTGTCGGAACTGTGTGAGTGAGCACAAAACACAGAAAAAGATCATGTGGTGATTTGTAGGGTCGGTAAACAAGTCTTTAAAGCCTCCCGGACGTAGCGAACCGGCCGTCGAACATGGGTGGGCTCATGGGCCCGAGAGAGGATGTGGGGCGCACTGGTAGGGACGGTCGGAGTGTTACAGTATAGTATGTCCTGTTTAAATTTTTATTTTTTAAAGAGTCCAAACAATTATATTTTAGTATAAATATACCCTAGAACTCTATAAATATATAAAAATATATAGTATATATATGTGTGTGTGAAGGGTCCAAACTTTTTTTTTGCTTTAAGACCCTAAAAATTGTTGGGCCGGGATTGATTATGACCATCCTATCACTCAACTCTGGCACATAGTTTGGTATCATGGCATCAAAACTCTCTACATAATATCCGATCATCATGGTTCTAAACTCCATCCATCATATAGCTACTAATATACTCAACAACTTTGGAAGAAAAAAAAATTAAAAGATAGTCATTGTGGTTAATTCCACTTATCACATCCTCACTTTTGCAAAATATGCCCACTTCTGCAGCTGTAGAATAACAGCTTGAAAACTCTTTTGTTTGAGTAGATTCTTGGACATTAAACAAGGTTTCTTTCAACTAGATCATACCATTTGGTGTTTTACACTAGGACATTAAACGATGTCTTACTGTGGTATAAATCATATCCAGAACACTATGAATTTGGTGTTTTATCCTTTTTTTTTTTTTGAGGTGTTTTATCCTCTTTCGTTTAAGTTCATAGACCATTTTCTTTTTGGTTGCACGTTTTCCTTATGGCAATTTATTGTGCATGATCATGACACATTTTTTTTGTGTTTTTGACTAAAAGTTACAGTTCTGCGAATTTTACGAGAATATTTTTTTTACAGTTTCGACGGGAAAATATAAATTTGCGATTTCGGGGAAAAATGCAACTCTTCGATTTTGGCAGAAAATGTGTTTTTGCAGTTTTTGCAGGAAAATATGATTTCGTAGTTTTGGTTGGAAAATTCGATTTTGTGGTTTTAGCAGAAAATAGGAAATCATATTACTTGGCCCCCTCGAACAGTCCGGTTGGTTATGGTCCTATTTAGGCTTTGAATATTAATGTCCAAAAAACAAAAAATGTCCAGTTGAACATACCTATTTGGACTTGGACAAGCCATTTGACATCCCTACACAAAACCACCTAACAACAATAAGCTTTGTAAAGAAACTCTCTTATCGCATTATTCATGACTCTTGTCCTTCTTGTTTAAATCAGATTGATTTTGTTTTTGAACAAGTTTAATTAACAATAATTTTAAATTTTAATTTAGTACAAGAACTGAATTCCCTTAATTTTTTGTAAACGGTCATGTTCGTTTGGTAGTCGCTAGCGACTCTTCGGTCGACAGTCAATGGATCCAGCGACCAATCACAGCGATCAGCAAACCAAATTGTTAGTCGTTAAAATTTTCAGAAATCTTCAGCAACTGGTAGCTGCGATTGGTCGTTGGTCGCCATCGACTGCGAAACGAACACATGGCGACTACAAAATAAAATAATTAATATTTCAATAAAATTAATTTAATTTAAAATAAAAACAAATAAAGTAAAACAAAAAACAAAAAAATAAATTAAATAAAAATAAAATAAACTTGTTTTTAATTACATTGGTTTCTATTAGGGTAAATTAAAATTAAAACTAGATTAGATTAAATTTAATAAAATAAAACTAATTTAAAATAAATAACTTATTTAAATAACTATCTTATAAAAAAATCAATTAGTTTCTTAAGAATGTACAGTATATAACTTAAGTTTTATTTAAAATTAATTTTTTTTATAAAATAATTATTTTAAAATTTAAAATTTTAAAATATATATATTAGCGATTACTACAACGAATCCACCAGTCGCAGCAATCGTCAAACAAACAACATACTAATCGCTGGTTGCTAGTCCCAACTACTAATAAAACGTACAAGGCCGTATTGTTCATTTCACCAATTATTCCGTTTTAAAATTTATTTCACAAATTCTCCCCTCAGAAAAAATAAAGACCGGACACACAAACACAACTATCTGTGTCATAGGCGAGAACTCCAAAGTCTCCTGAAGAAATGGATGTTAAAGGAGAGCCGTCAGATCTCAAACGCAAACAATCGAACGGCTAAGATTCACTTTATTTTATCTTTCTCATTGCCAATAATAATATAAATACAAAAAATCCCTAAAAAATGGCGCAAACAAAAGCAAGGGCCGTCAGGTACACTCTCTTCTTCTTCCTTTACTCTCTGCAAAAAAAATCCCTAAATTTAGATTCGTCTGATAGATTCGATTTTTCTTGTTCTTAGATTCGATTATTATGGAGCAAGAAGAACCATGTGAAGCAAAAGAAACAGCTTCTTCGATAGAGCCCAAAACACCAAACCCTAATGTCCCAGATTCGATTCCGGCTATCGATTCTGATTCTTCTCTATCGGAAGAAGAAATAACCACAAAGAAAGACAGAGGAATCGTCACTTTGTCTCCTTTGTGTATTGATTCTGTTTCAGTCTCAGATTGTGTTTTGGTATCTGATGAAGAAATTATAGAGTCAATTTATCAGAATCTGTTGAGAGTTATTGTCTCTGCTTCTTCTACTGAGATTTGGTGTTTTGATGGTTGTAAGACACCACCTCCTTCGTCTCGGAATCTCGATTCGAATATGGTTAGTGATACTTGTCCTGGAGCTCCTATGAAGCTCACTAAGATAGCTAGGAATATTGATTCTGGATTAAGAAGAAAACTCTTCTGAGTATCTGACCTTGAATTTGTTGTTGTGGTGTGACCTTGTTGTAGTAGCTATAAGAGCTTTAGAGGTTATAACTCTTATGACTCTTGATTTGACTTTTGTTTGTACAGTCTTCTTAGGTTTTTTATGTGTAATTGCTAGCTAAAGCTAGTTGTTGTGGGAGACATTCAGTTTTTGTTCTTTCTTTCTTGTCTGTAATTTATGAATGGTGAGGAATCTATAATAAGTTTCAACTTTTCCTCTTTTGAATTCAAACTTACACATATGTATGTCACAAAGGTAATGTCTTTGTTAATATGTAGTTGTGTTTGCGCCTATATCGATTGGTATTTGTAGAAAAAGGTTACTACAGAATCAAGGTCTTTGCTTTATAGATGACATGATTGCAACTCTCAAGGTGATGAATCTAGTGTCAAAAGGGATACACTGAGATCTTTGTTGTGGGCTAACAGGCTTCGGTTTGTCACTCTCGGTCGTCCATTTTGACGAGTCTTTCGCGTGCATAAACCAATGGTGGAATCCAAAACCAAAACTTATAAGTACTGAAGAGGTAAATCAATGCTGAACATGGAGTTGTATAAAATAAATCTTGTTTAAAATATGAAAGAACTAAGTCTATAGGTTACTATACAAAGGACTTCAGCAGTATCACCCAAGATCTTATCAATGGAATTGTTGCATAAGAAGTGCCTAACTGTGTCTATGACATTCAATAGAAATTCAAAGAATACTTTGTCTGAACTTTTAATCTTTGCTTTGGTCTTTTATGGAATAATTGAAACTGCCTTGGAAGCGTCTAAATGGTTAAACCGACAGGTTCCAAGAAGATATTCTGGGAGCTCCTCTTCGGTATTCGCCTGTACAAAAAAGAAATTGCACACTCAAAGTCAAATCCATCGCTTCAGTACGTAAGAGGTAAAACCGAAATTGGCTTAAGAGTTAAAGCAGGAAAGAAGATTGGAAACTGGTTTACCTGTACCAAGAATGCCATTTCAATCACAAGTTTGTTGAGGTAACCAAGAACAAGACTCACAACTCCTCTTGCAACCGTTGATGACCCAATATCAACGCCCAACTGAAAATAACACATGAGGCATGTAAAATATTAAGATTTCGTAACAATGCTCGGACCAGACGTGGAAAGTCTCACTGTTGCGGTAAAATACTAATTCCTCTTAGGAGAGCTTACATCCGATCCTACTTTGTTACCTCAATATAGTTCTTTCCCCTGAAGTAATTGATCTCCAGGGCTTGACCAATAAGGCATGCTTTCTTTCCCACACTCTGCTTAACTATCCAAGAGCCCTGATAATATCGCAAAACCAAAAGTCAGGTATGAATACATTTGACAGACAAAGAATAAAACTATCTAAAAAAGAGGTACTGTAATCTTTTACGCTAACCTTGGATATGTAGGGAATGAGCTTGAACCTTGAATTCCTATATGCGTCATCACCATTAACAAAGCTAACTAGCAAAGGATGCTCTTCAATGGGAGTGCTCATCATGTAATAAAGCACAAGGCTGTACGTTGTTGATCCAGGCACCTATTATTCCAACAACTAATTGATTCTTTACGGACAAATGGAAAGGCTGAATAAAAAATACAGTGGTCGCCAGAATGTCCTCTTACCTGTATATTCACGATGAAAAAGAACTCTGGTCCACCTTTTGCTGCATATTTCTGCATTTAAGAACTTGTAAGACTTCTTATAAAAAGAAAGAGAGAGACTAATACCATCAGAACAAACAATAATAATCAAAACCTGAACTATGCCTCCTGGACGGGACCCCAAATCATCTTCCCGCTTGTCAGATTTTAGCCAGTCTGCAGCTACCATTTCCATCAGTGTACCCTTTGCCTTGACCTGGATCAACCACAAGGGAATGTTTACAAATTGAGTAACATTATACATATTGATATATTCAAGCACAAGTTATTTGCTTTTCTTTACCTTCTTCTGGTCATCAAGATAAGTTTTTCCTCGAATGAGAAAAGTAGACGGGTCAGTTGTTGTCCAACTACAGGGCAAATCACAACTAGGATCAGTTGGAAGCGTGGTTCCATAGCAGCAAGGCGGGCTGCGGGCTGCGTGCGGGCTACTCTCTTCCCTTGCCCTCTCATGCAGGTCAACATAACCCCTCTTTTGAACTGCTCGCGAAAAAAATATTATAATCATTAAAAAGACAAGACACAACTAAAAAGAGCAGAATTTATCCATGAAACTTAGGATCACCTGCAAGATCGTGTAATTTCTTCACTAAACTCGTAGCGCTATTTAGTTTTGGCTGGCGGGATTCCTGCAATTGGCAAACGGAAAATCAGAACTGTTATCTTTCCAAGCAGATTTAAGTTCTGTCTGATGTTGCTACCTGGCAGCATGTATCCAAATCAAAATCTGAGGTCCAGCTGTCATCCAAATGGTCATTATCTGATGGTTCTGGAACGTCGAAAAACTCATCCAAGTCTACAAGGCTTGAGCGCTCTGAGGGAAATTTGTCTCTCTCTTCATTTGCAGTATCCTTAAACATTTCGCTTTCCCTCAGGGAAGAATCACCAAACACACCATCTTCGTTCTGAGTCAATCCTGCACTTCTTGACAACTCCCCTGACGACAGATTAGGAGGAAAGCTTCCATGCTTTGCCCTAAAAAGCTCTCTCAGAGCTGATTCACCCAACAAAGATGTTATGATAAAAAGAAAAGTGCTTAAACTGAGAAATTTTTTTTTAAGAGAGAATTGGCAACTACCAGAAATTCTTCCAAGCATTTTCACGGTAATAGATCTAGCTAGGGATGGTTTCACATAAGATCTCCAGGACTTCCAATCAACAGCAAGCATATGCTTCACAACTGATTGTTTTCCGTTGTCTATGGGAGAAATCACATAACCGCCACCTGTGATACAAAGGAGAAAGTGTCATTTTGCTTTGATTCTCAATCCAAAATTTCAATTGGAAACATTAGTTACACAAAAGAGATCAATAGTTGCAACGGAAAGCATAGTGATCAATATGTATTGCCCCAAACCAGCAGACGTATATTCTTTTAAGAAACTGAAACAAAAGCAGGCTTTTGTGGAAAATGAGAAGTAAAACTTTGCTTTAAATTTGTATCTCCTCTTTACAATACACTCTAACTAATTATAAAAAAGTATAGAGATAAGTAAGTTTCCGCATACACCAAGGTAGGTGCACAAATGAACATGTAAAGAAATGCAGTAACTAACTTCTTTTTTAATTGAATTCTAGGCGTACATTACTTTTAAGGCACGCACGGACATAGCCTTTCTGAGGTGGACACTTCTTGTGAAATACAGAATGATAAAGAATAACTGCGACAGAATGAACAAAGGAGGAAACAAGTTAGTTAATGAAACATTTGGCAGAATCAAATGAACAGTTATTTCTATAAAGTGCTACAAACCATATGTGCCATCATCTTCCCTTCTCCAGTAACGCCGCAGCGAAAAATCTCTTCTCTTCATCCCCCTGTTACTACAGCACATTAGTAATAAGACAAACAAAGACACAAACTCTGGCAGGAAAAGTTAAGTAGCTGACCAAGGTAACCAGTCGCTGTATAGCTGTTTGTGAATTATATCAGTGTGACCATCAAGATGTTCGACCACACTGCCTTGGTAGAAACAGAAATCCCATCTGCAAAGTTTCGAGAATTTAGTTCAGAAAAAGTAAACAACGCTTAAACAAAAATAACCCAAACCCCGCATTTTTTTTTAATGTTTTATGATTTTTTATATCTTAGGCTTGCTTGTCTGGAAAGTGGCAGTGGTACTTACTCTGATCTTGAGGGTCCAAGAGAAAGAAGAGTTTGGAAAATGGTTTCTGAAGTTCCATCAACAACACCAACAGCCATAATAGCCGGATGATCATCCCACTGTGAAGTCAGGCAACAGAATTATCAAAACATAATTCACTTCAAAAAAACACAATGAACATACCTTTTCAACAGATTAAGACTGAAAAAGATACTAACCCTTCCAAGAGAATCTCTCTCTTTTGCCTCTTTGAAAAGCCGAAGACCTGCATACAGCAAATGTTAAAACTATGCATTCCAGCCACACAAAAAGCAATCAAATTGAGTATGCACCATACCATTTTGACAACCGAATATTGTCCACGGAGAAGGCGCAACAACATCAGTTGTAACAGGATCCACACGTGCAGACGACCGAAGTGTCCAGTCAATAGAATTTGAGTGACGGTCCCGAACTGAGCTACTCAATCTGATTTCATAAAATTTCTTCTCTTTTAGTAACCACAAACCATAACAGGTACTAAGTAACTAACAAAAATTGAAAAAACTACTGGCTCAGCAATTTATTTAACAGTTAGCTTAGAGTTGCATTCCATTGATTATAGTAAACTGTGGAAATAGAGGTACCTCAAAGAGTCCCATCGGCTCCTCGAACAATTAAAAACATCTCCTGGAAAAGGGGCACCCTGCATAAAAACTATCACTATTAAGTCTCTATCCTTCAAATAGAAGAGCTCTTAACTTGTTACATAAATCCCTAATATAACCTTTAAAGCCGCCTCCTTAATTAAATTGATCCACCTTGCTGCATCTTCAGGACTGCTTGCTCCTAACTATACATCAATTAAAACAAGAAGCTTAACATATGAAAAAGAAATGTTCATCATCACAACAAGTTTTTCCAACAAACAAACAGAAATTACCTTACCTTGAGCTGATCATTGTGATTTGAGGTATTGTACAGTGTAAATATGAAGAATGCCTACAAATGATTAAGACAAACCCATTATAACAAAAGCATAACTAAACTCCACAACTAAAGCTTTGAAACAAGAACTTTCATACTTTTCTATGAACATTTTCTCTCCCATTGTCAGTAACCCGAATACACGAATCTATCACCGCACTTCTTCCAGCATCCTGTAAAAGCCAAATTCAGATTCTTCTAAGTGACAAGAACCTTAAGAGATTATAAACTACCAAGAGAAAACTTTGACCTTGGTTTTAGAATCGGAGATGGACTTGAAACTCTTGAGAAGATGATCTCTAAGAACAAAGTAACGTTTCCTAGAGAAATGCAATCCAAATCGATTAGATCGAATTATATACAACCAACCTTCCATCTTCGTTTCGCTCTCGTTTTCAGACCCAAAAGCCATTACAACTCCAAAACCAAAGCCCTAGAATGTGTGAATAAAACCAAAATAAGAAAACTTACACTTTAAGAACCCTAGAAGTTTCTTGATTTCCAAGGAAATTATCCAATCAAAGAACAGATAAAAGAAACAAAACCCAGAAAGACCCACCTCTAGAAAAATCTCGAAACCCTAGAAATATCTTCTTCGCAATAAGAAGTCTTCTTGTTTTCTCCGTTTTACGATACAAATCAACCCATAAAACGACAAACCCAGAAAAAATCGAGAGTAGACGAAGGTAGTGGAGATCGGATTTTTAAAATTGGAGAACTTCAGATTTGAATTGATCTCTCGTCGTCATCATCACTTTTTCCAATTTTTTATCTAACAGGTTTCTCTTGTTTAGAGAGGAAAACTGGAAAAAGTTTTGGGAGTATTTGGAAAGAAAAGTGACAATAAAGATTTGAGGACGAATGATTACGAATTTTAGGAAATGACGTTATTACCCTTTTTGTGTTTTTGATGTGTTCTAAGTTTTAACCACACAAAATTTCTGATTGGTGGTTTGGATTTTGTCCAATTTCACTCGTTTTTGGTCTTTTTGATATAATATAGCATTGGCCTGGTCTGACCCTATAGAGTTAAAACCGGGAAAAGGGCCTTTTTCAACATGAACAATTTCTAAAATGCGTTTTTAACCCGAACAAACGATCAGTGCTGATTTATATTCCAACACTTAAAAATTTCAAATTATCTACCTCAACTTTTATTTTAGTGCATAATTACGAGTCATAGTAAACGAAAATTAGTCAACTGTGACGGTTTCTGAATCATATGACACATATTGGTTGAGGTGGCATGTTTTTTAAAACAAAATGACTTAGTTTTAAGTTTAAGGATTCAATTTTTTTAAAAAAATGCAAAACCAGAGACTCAAACACGCGATCTCATCTTAGTCTCATTGAATCAGAGGTTGCGTGTTCGAGTCTCCGATTTTGTATTTTTTTAAAAAAATTTGAATTCTAAAACGCAAAAGAACATTGTTTTGTTGAAAAACATGTCACCTCGACCAATATGTGTCATTTGATTCAGAAACCGTCACAGTTGACTAATTTCCGTTAACGTTGACTCGTAATTACGCACTAAAATAAAAGTTGAGGTAGGTAATTTAAAATTTTTAAGCGTTGGGGTATAAATCAGTACTGATCATTTGTTCGGATTGAAAATCGCACTTTAGAAATTGTTCAGATTGAAAAAGGCTATTTTCCCTAATACAGCATTGGCCTGGTCTGGCCCTATAGGGTTAAAACCGGTTTTCGCTTTTCTAGACAAAACGCAACTGTTGTTATTGGTTTCACTTTTGCTTTAAAGTTTAAAAGTTTTAAAACAATAAAAATAGAAAAATATAAGTTTTGGGAGAGAAATGAAGATGGAAAACTGTATTGGAAAAAACAGTTAGAATTTCAGTAAACACTAGATATACATTCCCTCCATTTCAAAATATAAAATGTTTTAACTAATAGCATGCAGATTAAAAAATATTCACATTTAAAAATTTTTATTTGAACTTCTATTAAGTTTTGTACTTAATTTTAATATGACCCGAAAGAATAAGTTATTATAGGATGTTAATTAGTATTCTTATTATCGACTTAACTCTATAATTTTAGATTATGTTTCACTCAGTCATTGGCTCTCGGAAAAAAAAAGTCATATAGGATTATTGTTAAGGGATGTTGTGACCCACAACATCCCTTAAAAATATTTTATTATGAAGAAAATCAAATAAATAAACATATATATCACAAAAAAAAACACTCTTGGAGCTTGATCACATTCACATACAGAAACTACTTATACTAAGTTGACTATTTCAATACGATTTGAGAGTGAAAAAAATTGGCTAAAGAAAGTGAAACCAATCCAAAAAGTTATATAGAAAACAAGTTAAGACAAAATAGTAATTGTGAAAAATAAGCATTCGAGTTGATTGAGAAATTTGTAAGAACGTATCACAGTATCGTTGGCCAAAATTGTAGTAATTTGTAGGAACAAGTCATCATCACATAAATTTGTTTAAAACACAAATATGATGAAGATTGAAGACCATTTCTCTTTTTTTTTTTGTTAAAAGGCTTGTCGAAATGAAGACCATTTCTCATTTATTAATTTTTCTTTTTTTCCTTTTTTGTTATTCGTAACTTGCAAGTCTCACAACCACTAGTTTTAAGGGGAAGTTTCATTACCAATTATCTTTGTAGGTCCATAACATTAAAATGTTATACATATACTATTCATGGAAAAATAAAACAACATGGACAACGTATGCCTGAAGAAGGAAGTAGTGTAGAGATTGTTGAAGAAGGAAGTAGTGTAGAGATTTCTGAAAGCCAGATAGTGGTTTGGGCCTCGATGAGTTTGGTTTGGGCCACATTTAAAAGAAAGTTACATTTAGAGATAGTGGTGAGAGATAGGGAGGGAATCACCATTGTATTCACCTCCTTTATTTGTAGCCAATGATTGTGCCATATCACATAATACTTAAACAAAATTAAAAAATTAAACAAACAAATAAAACAAAATTAAAAAATAAAATCATTAACAAAAAGATTGATTTAGTTAACGCCGTCATCTCTTTGTCGTTTGTGTTAGCATTAATAAGTTAGGGTTTCGATTGTAGGTTCATTAAAATTTATACGAAGCTTCCACGGCCATTGAAATTTGTAGGTTCATTAAAATTTCTAATGAATATTTGCACCCTTTTGCTGAAATTTGTCTGGATGAACACAAAGTGTTGCTTTCCTGTAAGCTCACTTTACGGCTGCTGAAGGTATGACTTCTGTTAATGGTAAAGGTTGCCACTGTCGTTGCTTTTGGGACCGAGGATCTAGTTCATAACAAACAAAAACAAAAACAAAAACTTGATTTTGAGAAAGCTCTTATTTTCTAACTTTGTTCTCTACGTTGTTCGGTTAGGAAACGTTACGTATTGTAGGGTTGAGAGTGATACTCTTATACCACTTCAAACTTGAGAAGCAATTATATGAAAAGATCTGGAGAATTGTGATCCTAGAAGATGAAGATCATAAAATTGCCATGGAAAACCGTTGTCGCCGTCTTTTCCAGATCTTCACGTTTCTTCAAACGATGACGACGTATCAATGGCCGTGGAGGCTTCGTATAAATTTTAATGAACCTACAAATCGAAACCCTAACTTATTAATGCTAACACAAACGATGAAGAGACAACGGCGTTAACTAAATCAATCTTTTTGTTAATGATTTTATTTTTTAATTTTATTTTTTTGTTTGTTTAATTTTTTAGTTTTATTTAAGTATTATATGACATGGCACAATCATTGGTTACAAGCAAATGAGGTAAATACAATGGTTCACTCTAGAGGTGAACCCAAGAATGGTTCCAGGGAGGGTTAAGATGAATCTGAACAGGAAGGGAAAAGATATCATGAAGAAGAAGAAGACGAGAGTTCCCTGCAATTTCTGCGAATTCTCCAGCAGCAGGTAGATCTCACCGTAATCACAAACTTCGATTCTTATGTTTCTGGATTAGCGATTACTGGGCTTTGTTGGATCTCGACATGATTAGGATAATCACGAATGATTTTTTAGTAAACTCGATATGTAAGTTTTCGCCAATAGTATACGCTTTAAGCTTAAGACCGTCTTTAACCTTTTTCCAGATACGGATTTGACCAAAGTCTACAGGATCAAGACAAGGAAGAAATAGTGGTATGTATGTATATCTCACTTCCTTCCTTGGCAACAATTTTTCTCATCATCATATGAATTTCTATGTATATGCTTGCCTCTATGTTCTTGCTTGCAGCTGCGGAAACAAGTCATGAGATTACGATCCCTGATCAGGAGGATGACTGGTAGAGACGACGATGTGAGCTTCACTGAGCTGCAAGAACTTACAAGTCATCTCGAGAATGTCCAGCGCATTGTGGAGGACCATATGGTGAGGAAACTTCATTCAGGGACTTCCTTCTCCTATTATTGAAAATGTTGTCACATTTTGTTTGACTATTATTCCAGAATAAGATAATGCCACCAGACCAAGTTGAAAGCAAACAGGTAAGGTTTTTTAACTCATAAAATTAGCTAGTTCAGTTAGATTTACCCTTTCCAGTCTACCTACCATGATTTTGCAGAAGAAGAATAAAGCTGAGGATGTTGCTACGAGTATTCCGGTTCCCTCTACTAGCAGGTAAAACGAATAAATAGAGGGTTGAATTAGTGCTTGTGTAAATCAGATATGAAACCTCGACTTGTAAACCAAAATCAGGTTTTATGAGAGATCACTTTTTTGCTCTACCTGTCTTGCTGCAATTGCTTTTTTTTGTATCACTATACCAATTTGAAGTTTCTCTTTCTGTATATAGCTCTGAACAAAGAGAGGATAAAGAACTGGTGCGTGAATTTATACTCTTCTGGTCCTCTCCTTCTTCTTGCCTCAGATTCTGTTATTAATTCTTGCAGCTGAAAATGGAGAGGGAATTCGAGAGACGAAAATCTGAATCCTTGCAGAGCGAGTTCGAGAGATTAAGGATTTACAACGAGTAATAAGCATGATTCTTGCTCTTATTCCTTCTTTTTCATTTGGGTTTAATTTTTGTTTTTTGTCACCATCACAGGAGAATGAACGGTAGAGGTATCGAGAGTATGAGCTGCTACCATGACGTGGTCCAGCTTGATTCTCAGATAACTTACGCTTTGATGAGTTTATCGGAGCAAATGACAAGACCACTAGAGGAACAACTTTGCAAGGCAGAGCTGGGCAAGCATGTAGTGAAGATTTATGGTAAGCCTATTACTGATGAGAACAAGGAACTGAGGAGATCTGTTCGTTTGGCCAAGAAAAAGGAATGAGGAGAAAGTCTCTCACTAAGTGGCTTGGGTGCTTCTATCTTGACAGAGAGTCTTCTATTTGCTTATTATGGGAGTTGATGTCGTTTTTATGTTAGCATTAGACCAACTTTAGGTTTGTGTATCTTTATGACATTAATATCAAATCTTTCATTTCTCGCCTCTTTAAATAAATGTCATGGATGTGTGTAGAATCTAGATCATCGAATCGTTGTCTGAGAGCACCTTTTGGCGAATTATTCCCACCGCCTTTTTAGCCGTAAAATTTAATAATTAGCTTTGGATGTTTGTGTCTCTTTTAGTCTTTTGATCTTTTCTATACTAATTTGTTTGCAGTCTTAAACCTCTCTTCAATGGCCGCGAGATAAGCTTTAGCTTTCTCAGCAACCGTGAGGGAAGATTTGATGTTATTAGCAATTGTCATCCTTAAAAACATAATGCTCAATCTGTTCGATTTTTCCCAATCTTTATGGAAAATACATTCTTCCTCAGTACTGTCCTCCATTATTGGATTTGGTTCCTCTTCACGAAGTGCCAAATCCAAGTCCAGTACTCCTAATGTGAACTCAACTTTCTCTTTCCATTCTGAGAAGTTGGTACCACTGAGGATCGGAACATTTGAGACCATGGATGACAAGCCATCATGAATTAATGCTGCAATTTAGAGATACAACAAGTTTTAAAGAAGTTCTAAAACATAAGCAACACATTACATTAATTGAATAATACAATAAGAAATTATGGCGCTCATGTGGGTAGTCACCATAAATTCATTAAAGTCATAATATTCTAAATACGCTAATGAGTGATGTACTAAATTACTTAGACTAAATTATCTGTGGATATCCTTAGGCTTCACAGATACATCCACTCCATTAATTTTCAATCATATTTCATGTTTATAGTCTACCTGTGGGTAACTAATTATAACATAAATAGATCGAATATGCAAATTCATAATAGGGTAAAGTCACCGTGGTGATATCTAAACCCTTAATATGCATTTCTAAATAAAACAATGATTTTTGTTCTAATAATGAACAAAACAATTATGCATAAAATGGAATCTTCGATAAACCATAATTCGAAGAAACTCTAAAAAATGCATATAATACTAATTGTAAAATAAACTATAAAATAATCATAATTCAGATATGGAAAAAGCTCTTTAGTTCCAGATCTCTTACTTTATGATATTTAAAACTATAGATCTATTAAACTTAATGGATTAAACAGATGTTTAGATCTGTGTCTCTGATACCACATGTAAGTGTAAACTTACATTAACCCCAAGATCTTTAAACATCTGAATTAATCACTTAATAGAAACATAAAGAGGGTTAGTGGAATACTTCCTTTCATTGCAGCGGAAAAAATCTTCCTGAACGGTTTCCTGAATAGAAGACTAAAGCTTTAAACTTAAGGTCGGAGTCTCGGTTTCTCTCCCCTGGCCTACAAACGTTTTCTCTAAGTGTTGCAGATTTTGGAACTTCCTTTATGATGGACTAAAGGTTTGTATTTATAGGTGGAGAGAGGACCAAGATCCGCTTTTAGGGTTTTCTCCGGATTGATCTCGACCGTCCATCAAAGTAGAGCCGGAGGCATGTGTGACAAGTGGAAGCATAGGAATTCGACACATGTCGTAATTGCGACACTTGTCACGCATGCGCATCATGATCGCGACACTTGTCGCGCATGCACATCGTAACCGTGACACTTGTCGCGACTCCTTGACATTTGTCGCCTTTATGCGACACTTGCCACCGTTCCGCGAGACTTGTCGCCGTTATGCGACGCATGTCGCTATTCTGTGACATTTGTCATTCGCCTTTAATGCGTATGCTCTTGCATATTCACCACTTGTCCATGAGCGGAAAACTCGTTTAGGTTACCAATTATACATTACGGAATAACAATTCTGATAGAAAACCGACGACGACTATACGACCACATAATAGAGAAATGAAACATTTCTTACATTCTGAAATATTTCTTACAACTTGATGACCAGACTTTTATCTCTGTAACTGAACCTCAGAATTTGGACCTCTTTTGATGACATACCATCTGAGGCGGTAGCTGGTTTCGACATTTTGGTGGAGGAATGGGCACCTGCTGCTCGGAACATGTCCTCTAAGGTAATTCTCTTCCTCCCATTGACTCTGTAGGTTTTAAGACTCCTTTGAAATTAAGCAAATCAACTTTCCACATATCCTCTCAATACACCAAATGATCAAATAATGGTTGTGTTGTTTTTTTACACATTTACTCCACTACATATGGTTTATAGCATGTACAAAGCGCTGGCTCTTTTAATGTCAGGGGTGTTGAGTGTCGACTAAGGGCTTGACAACTTTGTCAAAATCTTGATAAAAGTTATGACTTGGCAATGTTTTTCGAAAACAAATCTCTGGAAACTATGCCCAAAAGAAAAGGGGCAATTTTTCCAACAAATATACATGATATCAAACCAACGTTTTTGTGAGGTCAAAGGTTTCTAAATTCTAACCAAAGTCCAAAACCAAACCAAAAGTCAAGATACATCAAGTATTCTCTGTTCGTGGCTATAAGATATATATGACTATATAAAACTTTGAACTGTGACAGTTTTCTAATACAAACGGATTTGAAATTTGGTGGAAGTGTTTCGGTGTTTGTCTCATAGCTTAACAAAGGAATTTAACAAATCATTTGAACAATAATCGATCCATTTAAAATTGGAATTTAACAAATCATTAGATTTGCATCTCTATTTTACTAATTTGACAAAAACGAAAGGAAAAAACAACAAATTCGAAAGCAAAACTAACAATTAACCTTAAATCCTATGATTTTCACTTGTAAGAAAAACTCACATATATGCAGCATCGTTTTTTTTTTTTTTTTTTCAGATTTTTTTTGTTTTACTTCAGCTTTTAGGTCTCTAGTTGTATAGGAAAGGCCCACAATATTTCTTTAAAAGGCCTTAGAGAACAATTCAGATTATAACTATATGTATGAACAAAATTATTTTTGAAAAGTCCCTCAAAACTTTGAGGCCTGAATCAGTGGCTTCAGAGGCTTGTCCTCTGGGCCGGGCCTGCTGAACAAGGACGGAGACAAAGAAAAAAAGAAATAATTCGGCGCATCCATTATTTGTAGATTGATTTCAAAAATTTCAATGTAATGATAATTATATCATTAGCTTATATCTACCATTTTTTAAATTCAGAGGATTGTATTTTGCATACCCACCTTCAATAAACCATCTCTCATATTCTTATCATTCACATAAGCCTAGCATGTGAACAGAGGATGAATTCTCGGGACGTTAGACGTATCACGCACATGTAATATATAACAATATGTCAATATGCATAGATATAAATATAGATTATAAAGAAGTATAATATTTTATTGAAAAATTTATGGAAAGGAAAAAAGAGTATAAAGCATTTCAATTATTAGAAATTTATGGTTCCTAGTATCCTAGAAATCGCCCATCATTTTCTTCCATAAACTCAAAAACTTTCTAATCACATATTAATCACCGAAATGTCAAAAACCAGTTTGAAATTAATTGTATTTTAAACTCTATTTAGTATGCTATTTTAATCTATCTTCTTACTAGAAAAAAATCATTTGATCATTTGAAAAACACTAACATAAACCAAAGAACCACTAGAGAGAAGATAACTTTATCCTTGTAATATCCAAAAAGGAGGAAAATGAAATAGGTAATGTAATATAAAAAAGAAGAGAAAATGCCCACTGGCTATTTCAATGTTTTCTCAATTACAAAAACATTATCAATGAATGAACAAAAAAAGGGACAGAATTATAGAGACGAAACATGTAGAAAGAGTTATATTATTCACACTGGAGAATGCTTGTCTAATTTCTTGGCTTCATGATGGTTCTCTTTTTCTTGACCCAAAAGCGGCGTCGTATCTCTATCTTTCCCCTGTCAAAAAAAGGAATAAAACCAAAGTACTTAGAAACTTTCAAGACTCATTACTTCTATCTTTTCATTTTTGTGTGGTTACGTACAAGAAAAGTAGACTCGGAGGAGGCTTGTTTGGATTTAGAAGCAACTGAGCAGAAGTAGGAGTAGAGAAGCATGCCGAGGACCGCGATGAGGATTCCTGCGATGTTACGAGGAGTGAAAGGATCGTGGAGGAGAGTGTAACCAAATGCGAGCACCAAACACGTTTTGAGATGTCCCAAGACTTGGTATGTCACTGGAGATGTCTTTCCAATCACTAAAAACGTACTGAAGTTAACCGAAACCGCTATCAAACACGACAACGTTATGAACCCCTGCATGATTCATCATCGTCAAATTTCACAAAATTCTAGTACCCATCTAGGAATGTTATGATACAATCATAGCTCAAAATGGGCCGGACTAATCCATCATTATGATTCTAATTATATTTTAACACCAATCGACAATAAATAGAATTAACGATGTAAAATTACCGCGACGATGGGAGAGTAATGGAAGGAGAAAACATTGAGGCGAGTGAGGTATTTGTCGACAAACGGACCCGAGACGAAGAGTATAGCGGCTTGGAACGGGGCCGATTGGTATAGGAGTTGTGTTGATGTCACGTTCAGTCTCTTCTGGATTGTGTTTGTTAGCTTCACCACAACATTTTATTAGTCATATTAATCATACTATGGGTTAACTATTAAACATCGATTAATGAAACTTAAAGCATACAATTTGGCCGACGCAAGTTGTGGCAATGGCAAGGAGAGAGAGAACAGAGCCAACAAAGTTGAGCTGAAGATCTGTGATTGATGCTATACCAACCCCAACCAGTAGCAAAAATAAAGAGAACTTTATCTTCTGGCTGCAAAACCAAAATATGTCATTTTTAAAAATAATTTATATATGTAAACAGTAGAAAATATCGAAATAGTTTTATAGCAAGTTTGGTTCACCTAAACTTCTTGTTGAAGAAGAGGGTTTCTAAAAGAACAGTGAATGGTATGATAGCAAGTTTGGTCATCTGCCATTATGGACAAACATCAAATTTTTCAATCATATACATGTTACATAATAAGGATCAAAAGTATGTCGAACATATATATACTTGATAGAAGCCGATGGAATTGAAGCCGAGGCTGAGATTGAGGAGACCAATGGAGATGCCATTGAGAAGGCCAAAGAGAACAACAGTTCGCATGTCTATTGGTTTATTCTCAAAGAAGTTTAGTTTATATGCCACATGAAGTGTGCAATATGTTACCATCAAATGCCAACTTGTAAGTGTTGTTGCTGTAACAAAACCATAGCGAAAAAAACGATCAATCCTAAGACGAATAATCGGGTTTTTGATAAAGATCTTACAACATATATTGTCACAAAGTAATAAAGAGGAAAGTAGTAATTACCAAAAGGGAAACCAAGATTGGTCATCAAAGCTTTGTTGCAAATGACAATGGAGACAGAAGATGCAACTGATAGAAACAATGCTCCAATCACACCCATTTGCATACTCTTCATCTCTCCCATTTTTTTCTCCCTCTCTCTCCTCTCAAATCTATCAAATGAAGAGAGAGAAAGACAAATATATATTGATGTGTGTGAGAGAGAGAGAGAGAAGAATTGTGAATGTGATGAGTGATGAAATGCAAAGGTGATATAATGAGGTTTTTTATTATTTTGTTTGTATAAAAATGGTTGGTGTCTAACACCAAACTTCTGTTCTTCCTAATTTCATGTTTTCTTAATTATATCATATATATAACTACACACAAGATACATGAGAAAAAGCTATGATCATGTTGCTTAATATATGTTTTTCCTCATAAGAGGCTTCTACTAATGATATATGAAAGCAAATTCTTAACCATAAAAAAGAAGACTCTGATATTGAACAGCCAATAGGGGGAGACATTATGGTTTTCTGTGGACAAACAATTGACTTGAATTAAAAGCAAAAAGGAAGGTGAAACTGAATTTCTCATACTTTTTTCTATTGGAGAAAATATTGTAAACAGAAATTAAAAATAATATTGAATATTGTAAAAGCTTCACACTCACTCCAAAGTCCAAACCAATACCCTTCTCATCTCCTTAATTTCTCTACCATTTACGTTATCTATTGAGAGCAAATATAAAATACCCAATTTATGAAATTGGGTGAAATAGATAAATCATGAAACTGGTAAGTCTTGTTTTCTTATTGTCTTTTTCAGAAGTCAAAAAGGATTATGAAATAACCACTATTACACCATGTTTATTCTTTGTTTAGTGAAAGCATATTTTTTCTAAAACATCTAAGATTGTGAAATGGAGGAAGTAACAAACAACATTAAAAAAAGCTCAATCAAAATGTATAAATCACACACAATATCAATAATTAGGGTAAAATATTTGATATACAGAGTACATGTTTTTTATATAAAAAAGAAAAAAAAAATCTATCCTTTAACCATCCTCCCAAGGTACTCTTTATCAGCATCTGCCAAACGATTCTGAAACATTGTCCATTCCATTTTGCATCTCTCTCTCACTCCTTGCCATGGAGCTTTTCCATTCTCTGACTTTCCTTGACTTCCAAGTGACGGTATCACTTTATGTATTATCCATTGCGAATCCACAACACCGATCTTCTCATGAGCAGGCTGCAAAAAGCAAAACACACAAATTTTCATCATCAGTCAAGAGAATATATATGGTTATGAAGCAGAAGGCCAACAACTACTTACTTCAACGCATCTTCTAAGCGCAAAGTCAAGACCCCATCCATGAACCAGATCGTTCTGTATCAGAAAGATAAAAAAATTGAACAAGTTCTAAATTTTGAAGGACTAAGACTAGCACTGATTCTCTAGTTCTCTGTATCTACAGATTGACAAACCTGAATCATATGCCACACACATCGCCATGCTTCTCGAGAAAATACAGGCGCCATTATTTCAACAAATCTGTGGGAGGGAAAAAAGTTCAGAAAGCTCAGTACTGACAATGACTAAATACATCCTGGTTTTTAAAGAGACATAAGAGGGACTTACGCGGCACATGGAGGTAAATGTGGGTCTTTACACCATCCTGGTTTTTCTTTCGTATCTCTGTTCAACAGTAAAAAAGAAAACACATTCTTAATTCAGAACCAAAACTGAAAGGCAAAGAAGTATGGTTAGAGAGGGAGATCTTACTTGTGGACCTCTCGGTCACCTCTCCTTTTTGTCATTTCCCATGTGAGTCCATTGTTGGGCTCTAGGCCTGGTTGAGAAATCTCTAAACCATGCTTCTTAACTAACTCAATGTACCTGAATTTTTAATAGAATTCCATCACAAATGTAAAAGATGACACTGTTCTGCTACTCCATACAAGTATAAAACTTACTTATCGGCATTGAAATGCTCCACTCCAAGATCTTCATCCCATATAAATATGTACTCGTAAGCTGACACGACATCAGGATGCAAAAACCTCTTCGCGTACCACCTGCCAAAACCAGCCAAGAATATCGATAAAAACATACCTGACAAAGATTTTCCAGAATGTTTAACAACCGGTCAGATGCTCACCATTTTGTTTGCTTTCTCGTACTAATATGAATCGCGCTCTTTGACCACTCAAATTGATCCCACTCAGTTGTCCGGCCATCATAATGGAAGAGCAAAATTTGGAAATCTTCAGAAAACTGAAGATATGACAAGAAAACAAAATCTGAGTGTATCCAGCAAAGAATATATAACAATAATCCCTAAAACACATGCCGATATCGCAGAACCTTCTTAACAACTCCATTAATATGGTTCCTCTGCTCAAATCCAACTGTAAACGTCACAAGATATTTTGGCTTCTTCTTCAAATCCTGCAAAAGATTATTGTTTCCATATCAAAAAATTCTAATCATCTTCAGAGATAAACCATATCTGTTGAGAAAATAAATATAGAAACACATACTTCATTAGGTTCTCCCCATAATCTACGCAAATAAAAATCAGTTTTCGCCACAACAATTCCTGGCGGTAGTAGTTCTGCACCACGCGGGTTAGTTGGAACATATATCTGCAATCACATAAACAGAAACGATACACTTCATCCGAAATAAGGCACTATTCTAGTACATATAATCGAAAAGCTAACGAAATAGAACCAAACTAAAAGGTTTATAAACCTCAGGAAATTTTCTTGAACCGAAATCTTCAGGCGATTTGTCACCACCAGACAACAATTTCCCATCTGATATGGCTACATCAAGAGATGATATAAGCCGCGAGGGTAAGTTAATCTGCAAGAATACTTAGTAAAATCAACAAGTGAAAAGTGAAAGGGACACATTAAGAAGAAAGATCAAACCTCATACCTTAAAAGAAAGTGAAGGTAATGTGATACCAATGAAAGTTCCAAACACTATCCCCAAAATAGTAGTGATAATAACCTTTGCATTTTCATTCGTTCTTCGAGGAGCACCACTGCAAAGCTAACCACTAAGTAGTAATCTTCATATTGAAAACCAAACTCACAAAAAAAAAAAAAAAAAAAAAAAAAAACTGATTTTTGTAATTACAATCAAAACAGTTAAGGAGATTTACCTGCGGTGCATTGTTCCCATTAGGGTTTGCAACAAGACTTAGTCACCCAAATACTAAAAATTCAGTCTTCAGCAAAACTTCTTGTTTAAGCAATCAAAGTACTGACCAACAATAAAAATAAAAAACTACAGATTTAGGAAAAATTTCAACGTTTTAGTAATAATCTTACAATTTTCTTAAGCATCATATTCAATTGCATAGTAAACGAATCAACAATCTTGAAAAAACGGAGAATTGAAATGGAAATGAGATTGCTTACAGGGTTTAGATCTGAACACGCCGGTGAGAGATTAGAGCTCTCAGAGGAGATTCTCCGATCTGCGAGAGCAGAGAGTGAGAAAGAGTGTGACAGAGAGAGATTTGGTGGTGAGGCCTATTCGTGATGAATTTTGGAGGTTTTTAAATTCTTAAAGGCCCAAACTTTTTTAATTAATTAATCAAAATAAATAACCTCTATTATTAGGACATTCCGACATTACAATTGTGAACTGTTCCTGTCTTTTTATTTATTCAAACTCATTTATTACATTCTTTGGAGCCAACAAGATTTGAAAATTAATCTTTGTTTCCTTGTTGATTAATTAATGTTAGTAAAATACTAAAAATCTTAGTCAGTCAAACTTAATTAATGTCATTTGTGTAACAAACAAAGGAAATAGGATAATTGAGAAAAATGTGTTGAATAAGAAGAATATGATAATGGAAACACATGGGCTAAGTTTGAGAGTGAGCGGCCCATAGATGATCCATGTACATGCACTAACTCCATGATTGGGCTTAGTATTATATAAATATTTTTTTGTGTGTTGTTTAGTTGTTTACTTATTTTTACTTCTTAACTGTAAATTTTGAGGGAATCATATTTATATTAGCTTTTAGTTTTACATTACGAATTGATTAACAAAAGTGTATATGCTTCCTGCATTTTACACAGTCAATTCACTATTTTACAACTATTTTAGAAGTAGTAAATCATTTAACAAGACGATTTCTTTATTCGTGGTTACAGATCAAAATTTAGGTGTCTAGTATGGTTAAACATGTTTAATGGTGTATAACATTATACTTTAGTTTTAGCGGTTTCAAATTGGTTAAATGGACTTGTAACTTCAATTCAAATATGCATATCCATTAATTTTCAATTTACTATAATCACGACAAAAAAAAAAAGAAATCTTAAGAACAAGAATTCAATTTAAAACTCGTTAACAAAAGAAAGAAAGAAAAACCCCCTAAGATTGAGTTGTTCGTTAGGGGACATATTACAAAAATACAAACTAAACAAAACCAACATATTTTCTGTCTTTTCTTTTTCCCAGATAAAAATCTAAAAAAAATACATTAAATAACAGGATCAACTACACAAAAAGAAGAAAGTCAATCTGTTTTCCGGTTTGCTTGGACTACGTTTTACAATCAATAAAGAGGATCCCAATTTTGGAGAGAAACATTCAATTGGGTTGTCCTAATTAAAGAAATTTAATTAGTCCTTTCTCATCTTGAAATTTCACAAGTGGGACTTAGCCCTATTTGCTCCATCTCCCAGCTTTTCTTTGAGGCTACCTTCTCATGCCTTGGTACATAATCCTAATTTTTTAAAATCCACATAAGTTAAAAATTTTGATAGAAAATAGTTAAACAAGTAAAGAAAGAAAGAAAGAAAAAGGAACCTCAAGTTTCTTGACAAGTTCTTTAGCAGAAGGAGCAGAGACAACGATATGACGAGCAGTTGGTGATATGAAACCTTCTTCCACTGCTTTGTCTATGAATGATAACAAAGAATTGTAGTATCCTTCCACATTCAACAATCCCACCTTCACATTGATAAGATTAAGAATTATTCGCAAAAACAACAATGTATAACCTGGTATTTAAGAAAGTAGTGATGAGTTAAATAATTTTTTTTCCGTTATATATTGTTTTTTATGTGAACGTCTAATTTATTAAAAGAAAAATTAGAGTTCGCGATTTTGCTTTTCTTCGAACACATGTGAAAAATAGATGTCAATCTAATAGAAATAAAATAACGTGTCACCGAAAATATCATGTATTCTCTTAGGAGATTTTCTTTCACTATTTGTTGACAATAAGTCATATGATTTTTATTTTTCTAACATTTTATTTCCTTGTTAATTACCTAATTCAGTCCAAGACTCTTCAAGTAATTAGATAATCACTTGGGAGTATATAATGTAAATAGAAATGGAAGCAAAATGATTACTGGTTTATCATGGATGCCTAGCTGTGCCCAAGTGATAACTTCAAGAAGCTCTTCAAGTGTCCCATACCCACCTACATAATAACATCCAACATTTTAATTCCAATTTTACTAATCAAAAATTTTGTATAAAATTCAATGATTAAAAATTGTGGATAAGAAAAACGAAAAGGAACCAACCAGGTAAAGCGATAAAAGCATCAGAGTGCTTAGCCATCTCAGCTTTCCTTTGGTGCATGTCTGCTACTGCCTTCACTTCTCCCACTGTCTCTCCTGTTATCTTTATTCACATTTACACATTATTGTTACTAATATTGTTATTTTTATTACCACTCACTCACCACTTGTGGTCTTCTATATATTCCAAAACAAAAAGACAAATCTCTTACAGACTCACACCACTTGTTTTATGCTTTCTTCCTCCAAAGATGTGTGAATCTAACAAAATGACTCTTAATGCTACTGTTTTAGATTCAACATGTAATATACAAATCTAGTTTTATCTTTGTGCAATCATATTTTAGCCCATTATGTTGTGAGAAAGGATAGAGGTAATGATGATTTAGTCTCTCGAGGTGTTTCTCTTACATTTATCACTTTGACCCCTTTCGTAAAAAGGTAATCATATTTTGGAGCAACATGATTGGTGGCCTTTTTATTTTTATTTTTCATTAGAAATTAACTACACATTTCAAAGACAGACAAAATAATTTAATTATAACTAAAAAAGAATAAGATAAGGGAAACATGAAAATATCACCGGCCAATAAATTGGCCTGTTTTGTCTCAATTGAAACACTCTCTAATATGAGACAAATGTGATATACGCGTTTTAAAGATAACATTTATGAGGTTGATGTTCTTGTTAAATTATCTACCACCAATTTCTTTAAACTCTAGAATTTGTTTTTATGAAAGTGGTAAGATAAAAACAATTCATAAATATGATTCTGGAGTTATATTTCGGACGTACCTCTCTTGGCATTAGTGTCTTGGGGATAACCCTGAAGACAGTAACAAGACAAAAAAAAGTTGGTTAAAAAAGTAAACGTCACGAATTCTACACGTATGCCAAAATTATCCACTTTGTTAATTGTTTCTTTTTTATCTTTAATGACTACAGAACTTTGAAATTTTTTTATAAACAAAACAAAGTTAAAACGAACCCAATGACATGGCGACCTCCATTGAAAACAGCTTGAGAAATCAAACCCATTAAACCAATGCTCCCTCCACCATAGACAAGATCGATATTTCTCGATACCTACAAAAACAGCATTTGGTTTTAGTAATTTTTGGTGTTAATTTAGTGGTCGTTGTCATAGTTAATTGATAAAAAAGGAATGGAATTGTGTCGACAAAATAGAAAAAAAAAAAAAAAAAACAAAGCATTTTATCAAATAGTAGTAGTGGATAAAAGATTGTAGAAAAACTATAAAGGTGGAAACTCCATAATTACATTTTCTGGTAAAAGTACCCACGAAAGTACATGAAAAAAAAAAGATGGTAAAACAAAAATAAAGTATGAACTTTCCCATCAAAAATTCAACTAAATTACTTTTGAATTTCATTCTTTTTTCAGCTCTGGAACTATGTTTCTACCTCTGACCACAGTAAGTACAGATTGAAGATGATATTTCAAACAATAATCATCTAAAGAAGATAACGGGAAATGTTTTGATATGAATAGTTGAACTCCACTAACTCTAAATGGCTTAAAATGCTTTAGTTATGACAAGTCAAATGATTAAACCCATTTCCTAGCAACTTGTAATACTACCTTTATTTGAGTCAACGGAAAAAAATTAAATTATTAGAGATCCATCCAACATTTTGATATTCAGGTATTCACAAGAAGTCAATTAGTCAAAAAGAAAATGATAATGAATTCTTTTTGTTAACTATATTATGTTCCTCAAAAATAGGTTTAATTAACTATATTATGTTATTCATGTAGTTTTTGTATTTTTACGGTTTTAAAATTTACTACCAAGACGTGAAATCTTAAGTCTTTAAAAAACAAAAACAAAAGAATCTAAGTCCTATATAACTCATAGGAGAATTAGGTCTAAGATATGAGTCTTCCCAAAAACTTGGAACTGCTAATTCTCAATTGTTTTCAAACTGGAAGTGGAGAAAAAAAACTTTTTTTTTCTTCTGGGTTGCTCTTAAGCTTTGAATAAATGAAAAGACCAATTTTCTTTTCTATTCAAAACGAAATTTTAAGAAAAATATTCATAAGGCAGAAAACAAGATTCTAAAAACAAAGGAAATAAAAATGAAAATTTACCAGTTCAGTTCCGAGTTCGATAGCAGCATCTTTGTAACTGGATTTATTACCAGCACTACTTCCACAAAACACACATATTCTCTTGAATTTTGGTTCTATCTCCATCTCTCTCTTCACACAAAGTTTCGTTTTTAGGAAAAAAAAGATTGAAAGATGAATCTATTTTTCTCGTTGTGTGTTGGTATGAATGTTCTTTGCTCATATATATAGAATATTGGGCGGTGGGGTATATCCCTAGCTCATACGCTTCCTAATAAGAATATCTCAAAAAGAAAATTTAAAATAAATAAATAAATAGTGGCTACATGAGTTTGACATTCTTTTTTTTATAACACGAGTTTGACTCTTCCATAATAAATAGATTAGAAATGGTTAAGAAAAAATAAAACTTAGAATCGAAATTGTCTTATTCCTTAATGTCTTGAAAAAAAAGTTCACATTCATTATATATCACTTTCTATTTAATATTACAAAGTACTTGTTGACACGGTGTGTGTGGATGCGTAATGTTTAAAAGTTGCCGACTGATTCCCACTGATTAAGATTTTAAATTGTGATATCAGAGGACTTAGTACAAACTACAAAGCAATAAAACAAGCAGAAAAATCCGGTTTTGATAGCCTAACCGACGGATCACCTACACATATTAAAGAGAAGAGTTAGAAATGTCCCGAGTTTGAGCACGCAAACGAAAAAGGGGCTAAATTAACCTATGTTGGTCTCAGTCCGAAGAAACTATGGACCTATCCCCACAACATTTTGGTTAGAAAATGAGTTGAGCAAACAAAATAAGTGTTTGAGATAGGTTGTATTCACTCTAGCCCGATCCGAATTAAGATTATTGTCGACCAAGCTCATAAAATCCACGGAACTCGGCCCATGACATTATCACCAACTTAAGAAAAAGAAAAAAAAACCGCTAGGAAAAAAGTAAATCCTAGATCAAATAAACCGACTTAGTATGCATATAAATAGAAGAAAATTCATTGAAAATGCATAGAAAATACACATACAAAACAGCTCGTCATCGAGTTAGACCACATTTATAATTCGAACTATGGATGGCTTGATCCTTTTTCAAGGATACTTAAACAACCTTTCACAAGGCACAATTATAAAATAAAATAAAAGTCATAATTCATCATCGGGACGACATATTTTCTCCATGTAATCATCTAGTTAAAGTTTTGTTGAAACCCTATGAAAACATCAAACTAGAACTAACGAAACAAATGCAAGTTGACATAGTTTGAACATCGATTTTAAATGGTATAATATCTAAGAAAATATTAAATATTTTTGAAATTTTGGAAAAAAAAGAAACAAAATTGTTAGGAGAGAATTGTTTAAATAATAATAACTTACCGAATTTTTTGATATAATATATAACTTACCGAATTTTGGAAAAAAAAGAAACAAAATTGTTAGGAGTATATGATATGTTAAAAGAAAAATAAGAAAATGATTATTGTGGGTCACCGTTTTAGAATAGAATCTATCACCCAAACTACTTTCAAAAGAAAAAAGAACGTCTTTGTGACTCTTAACAACAAAATTATAAAATGTGCTGGTTGCAGCGCAATACTATCCCAACTGCGAAAAGAGCATAGCTCTATTCATTTGCTTGAAAATTTATTGTATGGGTTGATCCTAACCAATCTTGTTTAGCCACAGTTCATTGAATAAAAATGGATGAGGCGATCAACTGCACTAAATTTCGTACGTACCACAAATGGAAAACACAAATAACATGAGGCTCTATCACAATAGACACATATGTTACCAATTCATGTATACTAGAAATAACCTAAGCCATGCGCAAAAAATATTTTTTTTTATCTAAGAAAATCATTTATGTATATATAATATTGATGTAGCTTAGTACATAAAGTTTGTAAATTTGTAAAAATTTCTATCTGCATAGAAAATTGTATAAGTCAAAACTAAAATTGTTATAAATCAATAAACTAGATTTCATTGTTAATTATTACTGCATAACATACAAGAAACAATTTTTTTTTGTTACTTATTTTTATATAAAAAATTTAATATGATTCTTAATAGTGTAAAAAATGTCTCGAAAATAAAAATTTAAGATAATATTAGCAAATTATTTATTATTATTATTGATGTTTACGATATTTTATTTATTCAAATCACTAAACAATAATGATTTTCAATATAACTTAAATAACAGAAAAATATAATTAGGACCGCAAAATTTAGGGGAACAATTGGTAAAAGTCTCAAAATCAACAATATAATTCCACATTTGGTTTATTTTGAGTTGTTATTGTAATGGCCTAATGGGTAATTTAAGTTGTAATTTTATTGAAAAGTAATAAATTCGTAACATTAAAAAAAAAACTCAGTGGCAAATCAAATGTGCTGGGTTAACCTGCTTTTAAACTATTGTTGAAATATGCAAACTGTTGGAGTAATATTTTGATTGTTTTATTTATCCTCCACCAACCGTACTAAACACAATAACCTCATTTGTTTCGTACTAATCCTATAGATTGTAATGTTTTATCTACTGCAATCATTTAGTACTGTTATTCCCCATGTCCTAACCGAAGTTCTCTTAATTTTTTCTTTCGGCCACTTAATGTCTTAACGTTGCAAAAGTGACTAATAAATCCCAAGAGAAGACTACTTGGCTAACATTACAAATTTAATCTTCATTTTAAGAAAGTCGATAGGAGATGTATGGTCCAAATTTGTGGACACTCGAAAAGCAAAAAAAGAGAGAGTTAAACATGTGAAAACATGGTGGTTTAAATGAATGCTTTAAATTGATGCGAACAACACTCTCTTTTATAAATACCGACTATTTTAAATTATTTGTTTTTTTTTTTGTCAGAATTAGTTTGTATAGTATCCAGTTTTTTTTAGAAAAAATCAGCCAAATTTAGGTTGAAGTATATATGTAAATTTCCCACTTCCTCAATAGTAAATCATGTATTTAGCATATTGTTTTGGATGAATTTAATTTTCCTTAGTATTTAGCATCAATTGTTTATTTATTTATTTCTTGAAGGTGATCCATGCTCCCTTTTACAAAAATCGTTTAATTCAAAACTTTTATAGAGTGTACCAATTGCAAATGCCATGGGGAAATGTAATATGGAAAATTTAAGATCATGACTAACTAAAAAGTTAGAATAAATTCACAAGTCTTAGCTCATATTTTGTATAAAATCTGTATTTTTAAGAAAATTTTCTGTTAGGCCACACAATAATTAAGTGTTTTGACCCAAAAACAGATTCTAAAATAAGCAGATGATTTATTTGACAATGATTTACAGGGTCATACAAAAACAATAAAACTTGTCAAAATTTTAAGATAGCGAATCAACCATTGGACGAAATTGATTCACATTATCTTAAAATAGACCAAGAGACTTGAATACTCACTTTTGGCAGTTATATATATATAGAGTTGAAGAGTATTTTAAAAATGATGAAGTTAATGTTTGATAAAAGAATCTGATCTAAAAAAACTCGATAGTTTGGTTTTCAGCAGAATCTCCCCTCGCCAACGTCTTTTCTGCTCCTGGGCGGAACTCCTTTCCTGGAGAAGTCAAGCTTCCCCCACGGCTCCTTCTATCCTCAGAAAGAAAATCGCTCAAGTGGTGGTCTACAACATCAGGCGGCAGCGGAACAATGCTTTACATAACTCTCAGCGTTTGTCTCCTCCTCTTGTCTTTAAGCTGATTGATCATGAAGTTCGCAATATCATTTCTGCTAGGAGAAAGCGAAAGTGGTGGCGTGATCTCATGCTTCTCTGGATTCGATAGTTATTCTTATCTTCCCTTTTTTATTGTAACCTTGTTTTTTTTTTTTTTTTGCTTTGGTTACTCTTGTTTAGATATTACTTTTGTAAAACTTCTATTCATTTTATATGATATTTACATGTTTTTTTTTTTTTTGCTAAGTGAGTAAATATCATATAAATGAAATGTTTTTGGGATTACATGTTGATTACCAAAAATATTTGGTTCCTTGGCAAAAAGAAAGAAAACATCAGACTTACCCAGAAATCTGATGTTTTCTGAAATTTGATACTGAAATTCACCTTCACTATGATTTATGGATTATGGTTCACCTCTTCACCAAAAAAATGATTTATGATTCACCTTAATATGTACATATAGGACATCAAAATATTTGAGTACTCTAAAATCCAAACGTCGGTGTACATAACAAATGCAATTCAAAGATTAATAAACATTGAAAAAAATTACAACACACTTGTTGTAGTGATTAGTGACGGTTTGCCTTTTCTATTTTAAGACAATTTCAATATAGATGGACATTCCTTAATTGCCAAAGAACCAAAGATATAACGACACCTATCTCATACACTAACCATTTGTGGCCTCCCCATTTTAGGAAAGTATGGTCTACCACCTTGTTTCCATCAAATTCATTTTAGTAGATACACCAAAGGGTCCAAGTTCATATAAATGATAGAATCTGTCTCGAATTTATGTTTATATGCATTGAGTATAATTAGTACGTAAAACTATAGCATTGAATATAACTTGTCTAAAACTAGTAAAATGGTTTAATTACCATCACATGGCCAGGATATATAACGAGCTCAATAGATGAATATCATGAACAAATGTTGAAATGTAGTATATATTTATATGCTACAAAGCGCAATCAAAGTGTTAGCAAGTCCCTATATTGAACATAACTTAAAAGCTACGTTTTAACGAAGGAATATGGCGACCAAATAATAGCAATTTAGTGATGAAAGTTCTATAGTTGACAGTTTAACGAAAAATTAGAGTCTTCTTAATTTTATGGCAATTTAGCTACTTTGTCAATGTATTGTGATTTATGGTTGAATTTACGTTCGTCCTTATTTATCACCATTTAGGCATGGAAATAAACTAGCGATGATAATTTATGTGTGTTGTTCAATGTAGTGGTGAATTTATTTTCTTTGGTAAATGTATGAATTCTTTTAGTAGTATATTACCGGCTCCATGACTTGACTGTACGATCGATTAAAAAACCAACGAACTATATTTTTTCGATTATTTATTGGACTAAAAAACTTTTGACTATTAAAAGAAACTTATCCTACTTATGCATGTAGATACGTTTCCATTATTATAAGCAAGCTGAGAGTGCTCTCCAAAATAGTGAGAGGAGGGTAATAAAGAGAAAACGTTGTGTGCACATACTAAAACCGAGTTTTTTTTAAATCGTATTTTTAATTATTTTATTTTATTTTTATTAATCGAAATGAAGAAACAGTTTAATTCGTAGTTAATATATCAGATTTCTCATTTTCATTGTTGTTATATGACTATCGAAAAATACTTAATTTTTTTGATAACCGAAAAATACTTAATTAATCTAATTATTTCAATCAAACTAAAACTACTCGGTTTTAGCCCAAGCAAAATGGTGCAGTGGTCGTTGGACCATGAGCTAGGGGAAAGGGATAACATCCTCTGACTATAGTGTGTTTGAGTTCGATTTCCACTACAAACTAAGTCGTTTTGTTTGGACAACTTGAACTTCTGGATTTGAAGCTTAAATAATTAACTTGTGGGTAGGTTTGCGGAAAACTCTTGCCAAAGAGTCGTCTATTCACCTCAATGAGTAGTGGTCCTTAGCTCCGACTGGTCGGCAACCGAATATCTTTTTTTTTTTTAATAACCTAGTGTCCAGACCACACTGTGATCCGACTAGCCCACTGGGCCTAAGTCCGCGTGCCTGAGATTTTTAAGCCTCCATTTAAGGGCCCCCTAGAACTGGTGGTCTGGGACGCTGCGCTCCGCAGGTAAATTGTGCAGTGGCCGGGACTCAAAGCCGGGTGGCGGGTGCCTCAACCGAATATCTTGTACTAATCTAAATACAAAAGGAAAAAAACTAGTCCGGTTTTGGTATGATTTTCATTATTGGAGCTGAATCATCCCACGATATATAATTCAAAACAAATGTCACAATATATGTACAAAATTAAGAATGCATGATTGTGAAAAAAAGGAAAATACAAAACTACAAAAATGTAAGAAACGTATCACATGGAGGAAGAAGGAGAGCTGGAGAGGGAGGTACAGAGTACGTCGTAAGGGACCCCTATTCTATCTTCTTAGTGTTCGACAGAGTCATTGTCTTCAATTTATAATGAGTTTTATTAAGTGCTTGTGAGAGTTGTGACACTATCTTCTATTGAGCAAATCAAGTTTCAACATTTTACATGAATTGTTGCTCTCAATGTTTTATAACTTTGACTTTTGTTGCTTCATATTTATGTACAACCTTTGACATCTCAAGTTTTCCCAAAGACACAGTTCAGATACAGGAAAATGATGTACTTGAGGAGTTGAAGAATAAAAGTTAGATCATTATTCTTTTGCATGTGGAGGCTGTCCTGTAAAAGGCAGAGTTGATTTTTTTTTTTTCCTAAAATATATTTATTTGTATATTTACGAGATTACATTTTTTTGGTACATTGTTATATCATTAAATTACGTTGGTTGATTACAAAAATCTACTATAATAAATTGAATCATTGTCCTATGTACTACAATACTGCATGCATCCTCTGCTACAATGTCTCTTACCACTTATATTTCCTTTCAACCGTCTATTGGTCAGTTATCACGAATTCTTCTCGCACTAATTCACCGGAGAGTAGGATTTTATGAGTACAATTGACAAAAATATTATTTAGATTTGATGTTTGCATTTTCTTGAAAGAACTGCTTAATTAAAACAGTTTTTTTTTTTAAATTAAAAAAAAAATCGCTGAACGTAATTTTTTTGTTAAATTTGTTCATCTATTTGCATTTTGTTTCCTAATCCACTCATTACCAACTGTAATATATTCGCTATCAAAATCGTATTTCAATTTCATGATGATTTAGTAAATACATAGCCATACGTCAAAAAAGATTTAAACCATTTATACATATTTAAAAAGATTTGTTTTTTCACGGCTTTAAGCAAAGTAAACTTTTTTTTTTTTTTTAGCAATGTAAACTTGTGTCCCCTATTATTTAGTGAGTGATATAATTTATTTTATTGTGAAAAATGTTCAACATACCATCTCGTAGACGATGAAGTTTTTCTAAATTAATATAGTCCGTGTTAGTATTTGTAAGGGAGACTCACAAAAATGCCCTTTTTTCAATACCCTTTTTCAAAAATGCCCCATTTGGCTGTCCATTTTTTAAAATACCCCTTTTTATGTACAAAATGACTAAATTACCCTTCTTTTAATAAAAGATATCACAAATATATAAGGAAATATAACAAAATTAGGTCCACAAAATACAAAATATTTTTTGGCGGGAAAAGTGATCCCGCAATTTTTCCCGCCAAAACACTTGTAAAAACTTGTAAAATTTTCTCGTAAAATTTTTATCCGCCAAAAAATTTTTTTTGCGGGAAAAGTGATTCCGCAATTTTTTTGGCGTTAAATTTTTGGCGGGAAAAATTTACAAGGTATTTTAAAGGTGTTTACAGGGTATTTATAAGGTTTTACAATGTATTTTAAAAAGTTTTACAACGTATTTATAAGGTATTTATAAGATATTATAAGATTTTACAAGCTATTTTATAAGGTTTTACAAGTTATAAGATTTTACAAGTTTTTTATAAGGTTTTACAAGTTATAAATACCTTATAAAACCTTATAAGTACCTTGTAAAACCTTTTAAAATACATTGTAAAACCTTACAAAACACTTGTAAATACTCCGTAAAACCATTAAAATACCTTGTAAATTTTTTCCGCCAAAAATTTTCTCGCCAAAAAAATTTCGCCAAAAAAATTGCGGAATCACTTTTCCCGCAAAAAAAAAAATTTGGCGGGAAAATTTTTTGGCGGAAAAAATTTTTACGGGAAAATTTTACAAGGTATTTTAAAGGTTTTTACAAGTGTTTTGGCGGGAAAATTGCGGGATCACTTTTCCCGCCAAAAGATATTTTGTATTTTGTGGACCTAATTTTGTTTCAAATAAGGGTAAAATGATCATTAAAAATTAAAAGAGGACAAACTTAAAAGTAAACTCTCAAAAGGAGCATTTTTGAAAAGGGGTATTGAAAAAGGGGTATTTTTAACCATTTCTCTATTTGTAAATACCATATATGACTAAATAATGTTTTTATTAGTCCGTGACGATGTCTTGACTTCTCACAAACCTTAAACTGCTCCAATGGGCATAGATCTTTTATACTACTGCAAACTTTTTAACCAATCAAAACTTTTTTTCGATTTGCATGATGCACAGATGCAGTAAAAATCACCCCTACCATTTAAAGCCATGTAAGAACTCCGAAAACCAGCTATCCCGTTGCAAACTCACCTATTCATTTCTACATGTAATTTCTTGAATTCATCAACATGTTATTTCTTTTTGTTTTGTAATATTTTTCTTTTAAATTTTAATTATATATATGAAATAGAGTGAGAACGATATAGAATTTTATATTTCCAGATTATGCGACAAAAAATTCATCACAAATCTACAACACGTCTATGATAAATTTACCTCGACTTTGCAGATTTCTTTCTCTCTGCTAAGTGATGAATTTGCAACGACTTAATTACCTTTTAGGTTATCTCCTTATTAGTTATTAACTACACCAAAAACACATTGTATCTACTTATATGAATGTTTTACGTACGTACAATGATAAGTTGTTCCAACGATGGGATTCGAATAAAACGGAACATGTGTAAGAGACCATAGAGACAGAAGAAGTGGAAATCCCGTGTTACCATCTCTATTTTTGCTCTTTTGTCTGAAGTCAAATCACTCATCGTCAAATTAGTTGCACACACACAATGACACAAT